TTTTCTCATGCTTCTTTGTCATTTAGTTCACATTTTCGAAATAGTCCGCCGGCGAACATGACTCATAAACTTGCAATTAATATAAAGGACTAATAACAAATCATAAATATAAATACAAAGTCACTTTCTGCTTGAACCAAATGCATATAACGTACTTCAAATATTACAAACATTTGGGAGTTTCTAGTACTGAAATACGATTTCACTTTTTGTGATTTGTGATATGTTCTGAATTTAAACATTATAGGAATTTATTCTCATTCACTTTTACGTTTATCAATAGCAGAAAGAATGCCGCATGTCCTTATTCAAACTTCAAAATATGATTTCCCAGAGGTCCCATTAACATAGCCGTCCACGGATTCTATTGCTAACTAGGTTTTCTTTTCTGAATGTCAATGTCAGCAAAATCTCTTGAAAACAAATTCCTGATACGTTAATGGCTTATTATTTTCCATTATTATATCACGTGAATGAAACCAAGGTTGTTTCTGTGTCCTCTTTCTGCTTGTTACGTTTTTTTCATGATCACTGATTCCATAAAAGCTGTTCAATCTTATAACTTCAAAGGAATTATTCTTCCTCTAAGGCTTCTTTACTTGCATGTGATATTCGGACAACTAATGTCTCTCTTGTGCTTCAGTGCTAATTTATTTTCAAAGAAGTCAACATTATTAGATAAAAGCTATGGCTTCACACAGATATTAATTTTAACGATGTGTGAGTGGATCTAGATCCGCGTGCATCATCACTGTTTTCAGTAAGATTTTTCTTTGAATTTTTGTCCATGTTTTCGCAACCGTGGAAGAGTTTCAGTGCGAATTATAAAGTTCACAGAATCATTGCCTGTATTATTTTTTCGGCAGATCTACTACGCATTTATAATTATTACAGAGGCATTCACGAAGTAAGCAAAAATTGGCTCACCACCTATTTTTCTTGATCCGTATGTAGCTACAGCCAAGTGCATTCTGACCACACTTCTTTAAATTCATTATATGCCTTCAGTAATGTGGTTGTGTATCGGAGACATCGAAAATCAGGCAATATAATATAACTTTCTTACTGCCACCATGAATAAATATTCACTTGCGATAAAATTGTATTCAGGGAAAGTCTGTTAATAAAAGAATGTCGCGCACACATTGAAATGAGTTTCGTAAGTGTCCTGACTGCATAGCGTCCAATAAAACGTATGGCTACATGTTCCAAGACCTGTAGAAATATACAAAAGCGAATTGCAAATTACATTTTCGTACCACTTATCCACTTTACCCACTTTTTCTTTAACAGAACCCGGCAATAAGGCTTATTATCGCGAAATTTCGGCGTTTTCTGGCGCAAGATGGTGCAAGTGTAACACGGAGGCGTTGGTTTAACGGTTAGGGTACCGGACTGTAATACCAAGTTCGCGGGTTCAAACCCGATCGAACCCGTGGATTTTTAAGGGCGAAAAAATCCTTCGTACGCCTCCTTCGGAGGGGAAGTACGGCAGTCCCATGTTAGTAGATTTACTTGCATGTAAAAGATCCTAAATGACGCTGAGCTAAATTCAAAATCGCTTGTTTCTCGCCCAAGGAATACCTCATTTTTCTGCTAGTTGATGAAAGGAGCTTAGCAAAATTTGCGTGGTCAGACGAAAGAGCGGGCCTGATGGCCCGAGTCTCGCCACGTAAAATAAGGCAAATTCAATTCAATTCAAGATTACACAACTTTCTCTTCTTAGGAAGAATTCGTAAGGCGAGAAAGTAATAATAATTTCTTAACGGTTAGGGATATCTAAGTCGACGCTTAAATACCTCGCCCTCGCAACACCGAACACGCCACTTAACGTTAATACCTCGGCCATCCAGGAGACCAAGACCACTACGTTCCCATATAACGCAAGACACAACTCTTTCACTTATAGCATAACGGAAAAATGTGAAAAAAGGGGATAAGAGTTGCAAATTGGAAAATCACATACACACTTCAAAATGATTTTGCTTATTTGATTGTATTTGTTAGTGGAAGAGCTTCAAATGATTTTCAATCAAGTTTCAGCAATTTTCAATAGTATTGTTCGGCAACACAGAATTGTGACCAATCCCTGAGAGGGGCTCGAACAAGCGGCCTTGCCTTCGAAGTACTGGGACCATACACTTCAATTAACCAATCTCGGCCCGGGGTCGCACTCCTATAATACCCATAAGAGCTTCGTGTTTCAGTTCTAGGATTAGGCAGCGGAAAAATTAACAAAATGAAAAATAAATGTCCTTTGGACAGAAAAATATTGCAGCTCGGGAGGCATAATTCAACGCGGTAAATAATTTTTGCTAGTTAAATGCAACAGAGAATTGACAAATGATTATTCTTGAGCCAGCCTCGAAACAGCAGCCTTTCTCACCGAAACGCTGAGACTGATCTCGAAATTTAACCCCTTCGGCCGCCCGCGTAATACAGCGAATTTAATAATAGCCATAAGCGACGAAAGGCAATTGATTTGATGGTTCATACGTTCTACAAATCCGATAAGAGATGTGAAAAATCGTTTAAAAGTTAAAAATTCGAAAATCACATGCACACACTTCCAGTTTATTTATCGTGATTAATAGTATACGCGATTAGAATTGCTTCAAATAGTTTTAATTTAAGTTTGTTGAATCCTCAATTATTTCCTGCAGCAACACAGTTGTCACAAATAATAAACCCTGACCAAGACTCGAACCAGGTAGCCTTCGCTCGGAAGAGCAGTGCCCGTACGCCACCAATTTAGCCACCTAGGCCATCCCGTTAGGACATGAAGTGAATACTTCTGTAACAGTAATAAGTGCATGGTGGTTTTTGTTCTAGCATTACGAAGCCGAGTAATTGAGAAAATGTACAAAAAAATGTTTTTCGGGCATCAAAATGAAAGCAGCCGTGAAGAGAATGAGGCTTTCCGCAAAAGCTACTCAAGAGTAAAGAGATTAAAAAACTAGGTCGAGAAAGTCTGTGCTATTCTATAGCAGCATTAATTGTTTTTTATGTATTATTTATTTAAATTGCCAATTTTCTACAACAAAGTTAGTTTCAACAAAGTTTTTTCTGAGGCAAAAATATCTTCAATTTTATAGATTTGAGTTTTTGTTTTCAATTTTTGAAAAGAACGAGCAATACCCGAAAATTGAACTAGCACTATATTTCTTACCGTCCCTTGAGAAATTTTAAGGAAAAACCCTACGCCGATTTTTGAGGAATTGTTTTTTGTAAATTTCAAGCGCATTTTACGCAAAATCTAACTTTTACAAAAAATTGTACATGGCCTTTTCTAAAGGCCTAATTTTTTGCCAATCTTTGATGCAAAAATGACCACATCAATCTTGTAGTTTTGAATTTGGTTTCAATTTTTTTTTCAATTTTCGAAAAATAGGGGATGTCACCGAATATTAGACATGCACCATTCTCTTAAACGTCTTTCGCACCATTGATCAACTAAATTTAATCAAAAAATTTGTAGCTTTTTTTTAAAAAATTTTGGAAATGTCCGAGGGGCTTCATGTAAAGTACTCCCCAAAATTAAAATACCGGTTTCAAATCCCATGGGACTCGAAATCAGCCAGATCGATTGGGCAATACCAAGTTTGGAGTAAATCAGTTGAACGGTTCAGCCGCGAGCGTCGACCACAGACATTTGGACGTCAATCGATTTTTCCTTATTAAGAACCACCAAAACATGGATTCTGGCTACGCCAAGAGTTGGATATTGTTTTTTTAATTTAGAAACAGGATTTAACCCCTTTTCGTAACCAGAACCCAGCAAAAAAAGGTTTTTTTTTCAGTCGAAATTTCGGTCTTTTCGGGCGCATGATTACATAACATTTTTCTACGGAGAATTCGTAAGACGATAAAGTAAAAATTGGAATCAGAAGCTAAAATGAGAAAAGATGCAAAATGAAAATCTAAAACAACTCCAGCAATGCCTATTGTTAAAAGTCTTAAAACCGAAACGATAATAATAAAAACGCATTTTGCCAAACTGTCGAGCTACAACAATATTGGTGGTGGTGGTGTTGGTGGTCGTAATAATAATAATAATAATAATAATAATAATAATAATAATTAATAATAACATCTATCCCAATAATTTAAAAAATGCTGACATGTTTACGATCTGGAGTATTATTTTTCATGAAACTGAAAGAAGTAAAATTTGTTTGTAATTAAATATATTTGATAAAGATTACTTTACTTTTAAATATTCTATACAGATTTTTTTTTTTTTTACTTTGACATGAAATGCAGGCCTGTTCCTTTCACTCAGAACTTTAATCGGGGCAAGAGATATCAGGCTTTTCAAATGTGGTCAGCTTTGGGGGAATTGGTCTTAATTGTATTTCCCCACAAAATACTTACATTAAAACACCAGCCCACTCCTACAGAATTGCCAATGCATTTATCTTTGCCTACTGTGAATTTATTTATTTATTTATTTATTTATTATTATAATTACAATACTAGTACTTGTAGCTACCAAAGGAACAGCAGCATTTCACTGAATCTGTAACTGCTATAGGCAGACAAAGTCCTGCAGATTTCAGACTGTTTATCACTATTTTAGACTGATTACAAAAAAAATTATACTTGAAACTTATGAACCAATATGAAAACATAATACAGTTTCTCTTATATTTTTGTAATCAAAACAACTTCACTTTGGGAATCCCTTCATTCCAATGCCATCTTGTTTCAAAACGGTAATAATATTATCATAATTTCAATATTTGCTACTGTACGAGCAAGCACAATTTCTTTTTCCAATATGAGAATTATCAACTTTCTGATACTTCATTTTGACATTAATTGTAAATTTTAATAATACACACAAGTCATTTTCATTTATTATTTAATGTAAAATATTTTAATGACCAAAAATGTTAATTTTCTTATTGCCCACATGGGCTAAAGCAATTGCCAATACATGCAAAATAAAATTCATAGAAACTATGCCACAAAATCTTGAAAATGCGAAGTAATCATACCATTCCATTGCAGGTTCTACTCCCTGGTTTCCAGTGACTGCCAAGGCACGCTCCCTGAGAACACAATATCAATAAATGAATAACATTCCAGGAATTGAGTAGTGCAATTGTAGATGTAATAAAAGGGAATTATTTTACATTAAGATAATTTTTGTTTATTTAAGTCAATTTTAAAGCCATAATTCATTGAAATTTTCCAATTTAAAATTTCAATACACCATCATCAAGTCACTAATCAATTTAAGAAATTTCTGGTTAATTTTACTTGCTATTAAAGGTAACACTAATGACTCTTAAAGTGACCAATCAATATTAGTGATTGGTCTTCAAGACTTGTCAGTTACAAACCAAGTACCCCTTATTACTACTATTTTAAAAAAGGAATTAGTTGTCCCTCATTTGTGGTGTCATTAATATTATTATGGAATGTTCCTCCCAATTATTTTTATTCTATTTGTTTACACAGGATGGTCATTCATTTCCTGCAATAAATACCCTGACACTTCCCAGTAATCCAGAGCATTTTTTAAATGTTTCACTGATAAGATTTGTAGAGTATTTTTAAAAAAATAATAAAGAGGGCCTGAAACTAATTTGTCAGGTCTCTGATTTCTGTCACTGTACAAATTAAAAAGAAACTCAACATTGATAAAAAATTGGAAAAAAGGAATTGATAAAAAATAATGCTGAGCTATTATTTATCCACAATATCTAAATCTGTGTCTCTTTCTCTCCTGATTTCTAATGATTCTTCCTTTTTTTACGTTTTTACGTTTTAACGTTTTCCATGAAGTGGCCTCCCTGTTATATCAACAGGCTTTCACCCAATACTATATAGATACACTTGAATTCACACATTCAAACCAGTTACAATATATTTTCAAACTGACACTTATTCTTCTCATTTCCTCCAGTTCTGCAGAAGATTAAGTTTCTGAAAACACTGATATTCTATATTTAATTGGCTGTCCGGGTGAAGCCACGTCCATGGCAAAGGTGCTGACGTTTAGGTCGCTATTCTGCGACCTTCCTCAGGGTGCGGCGTCACCTGGATAGCCAATTAAATACTGCCTCCGGCCGCGGAAGCCTACGCTCTCAATGACATTCTGTTTCTTGAAACAAGTACCAATTAACAAAATTTCATACTCATTTACAATTTTGTTTACTTGTATTTGCTACTCCTACTATTTACAAGTCTTGTGGTCGATGGACTCGCTAGATCTTTTTCTAATAAAATGATCTTAAGAGCCTTTCAAATTTGTTGGCAGAACGCAACCTACAAGAAAATTTAATTTTAATTTTAATAATCTTTTTGTGTTTTGAAGATGTGATACCCAAATATTAATAAAACTATGTAGATTACTACAAGGAGAAATTTTCCTATTATAATGTTCAGATGATCCAAATAAATCACTAACAAACTTTATTGACCTCTTTTCAGTAATTGAAATTCTATTGACTTAATTTGTGGAAAGTCGTCTTTTGTTCAGTGTATTCAAATATCTATAGAGGGTCATTCTTCTCTTCCATAGGGGCTGTCATAAATTACATAATGCAAATTTGGAGTATTTTGAGTATTCCCTCTCATCCCTGTAACACACTTGTAATGTGTGCTTGACCCCCCTAAATATTTAATTAATGCTCACAACACCCCACCCCCCTCTCGTTAATGCAAGAAGTGAAAATATATTATAAACATTTTGTATTCATTTAATTTGTTATACATACATTACAATTCATGATAATTAAACTCAGAATTAGTTAACAATGCTGACTGCAACAAATTTGGGGTAAGTTTTGAGAGAAGGAAGAACACATAGGTGGGAACATTTCTTATCACAAGATGGGCACGTGTCATGAAGGATGACGAAGGAGTGAGAGCCTACTGGGCCAATTCTATTGCTTTCTAGAATATACTACATATCACTTTTGAATAATTCATCTTACAGATTCAATAAAATAAATGGATGAAAAGTATTACTGTTTATAGTACCAATTTATTGTAATTAATTTATAGATTTTTAAAAGTTAATATTTTAATGTTTTAGCGTAAGCCTAAAAAAAAATGTCATCATGTTGAAAAATGTACAAAAATAAATGTTACATAATACTAAATTAATACCCTCCTACCCCCCAGTAACACAGTGTAATGCTGCATTGAACTGCATTACGTAATTTGTGGACAACCCTTTACTTCCTATTCAGGATTTCAAATTCTCTGTCGCCAAGCACTTCATGCGTAATGAAGTTCATATTTTCTCTTTCTTATGACTAACAGGCACTTGATACTTTTTGAAGTATATGTCATCTCTTTGCTTTATGTACTTGTTAATTAATGCACTTTTTTCTAGCACATTAACTTCATCTTAATGCTTTAATGTTTATTCCATATCCTGACTGAGTCACAGCAGACAGCCATTTCCTTTCATCTTCTCTGACCTCCCCCATACTATAACTAGGATCTCATTTATATTTATTAGGTATAAACTGCTCGTCATACGTTCAGTTCTCACTGGCATAAAGAGCCACACACTGCAGTACTTCAAAAAAGTTCAAATAGGTCCCTGAAAGAAGCAGCAAAGCAAAACATACATTCAATTAAGAAACAAAAGGTATTAAAATTTTTTCAAAACATTGGAGGAAAAAACAGCCAAACAGAGAAAAATTGTGACGTATCACAAATATGTTCACACATATCAAGGAATTTTTGTTTTATACATATGTGTGTGTGTATATACATACGCACACTCACCCAGGTATTCAGGGAGGAAATGCCGAAACTTCGCAAATAAGCTCTTAAAACAATTTTAAGCATATTTGGTCGAATTATCTATATGGACAAAAGAAATTAATATATTTGTTCAGAAAGAAACATTAACACAGAAATAAAAAGCATTATATTTACACAAAATAGGTGTGTGTATATATAAAACAATTTTTAAGTGAATTTTTCCAGGGAATTGTGCAGGGCCTCAGACACCCTATGTTTGTATTCATGTAGTTTCCCAGGCCCATGCATCCTAGTGTTAAGATCAGAAATAAAATATTGAATAAAATGATTAATTTATTTAAATTTATTTACTGCAAATATTGTTCAATCTAATGTTAACGTAAAGAAAAAATATAAAAACTTAAATTGGGCAAAATCATTTTTCAAAAAGTCTATAATGATTTTAACATAATTCTAAAAATCTAGGCCCTAAAAGTAACGGATGAAAATTAGAAAATGAAAAATTCTGTGACTTGCATACATTTAGCTAAAAAAGTACAAATAGAAAAAACATGTACAATGACCACAAAAGCAAAGTTAAACAAGGATTTGGTTCCAAGGACAGGTAACAAGGAAAAGTTTAAATTCTGGTTACCTGTGTTTTCCACATTTTATTAGGACCCTGAAAAATTATACTCAGCAAATCTAGTTGATCAGCATTTTGCAATTTTTTCAAGAGATATGCCTAAATGCTGCATACTTAAAATAATAGAGCTGCTCTTATTTTCAAAAGTATTAATATAATTTCACTACTGCATTTTAAAATAGAAGACGTTCAATACAACATTGCTTCAGCATGAGAATTGCAGAGAAAGGTGATCAGTCTCTCAGAAGTGGAGGAAAAATATCTTCAAGTATCATTTCACAAATTATAATTCAGGGGCATAAATAATAAGTTAAAATAACTCAAAATTGCAATCATGCAATTCACTCCAATCATGCTAAAAATAATGCACAAATACTATAATTCTTTAGGTTAATATTATCTTTTACCTCCCAGTTATATAGCGCTTAATTTTTGGCTCATATCTAAAATAAATAATGTTTTGTTTGGAATACAAAATTTAAGCACTGTACTTTTTTTTGGTATATTTTTCAATTAAGAAATTAACTCAATGTAGTACTTTGGCAAGTGGCATTTTCATCTGCAATTAAATCGTAATATATATTATGCCAAAGAACAGGATTTGGGGCTTTTACTGATTTTACAGTAAAATTTTGGGAACACACCGAGAGTATTTATAAATGTATATCCACATTTATCTTACATACAGCTATTACGTAGATAAAAATTTACACCACTAATGTCGAATAAATATTCATTAAAATAAAAAGTTACAATTACAGAATTAAAAGAAAAGGTGATGAAGCCAACACCTAGTATGAAAATTGCCTAGTGGTGCTTGCTGTTGTGAATGTTTCTTTCTGAATGAGATGTTTAATTTCCGATAGGTAATCAATTTTTAATGTTGACCCACCATTGTGATGGTATGCCAACATTGGCCATTTTAACCTGAAGAATATCAAGCTGTCAGTAAACACTGCAACAACAAGCCCTTTTATTGATAGTTTTTTGAAATTATAAATACAAGTCTGTGGAATATAATTAAACACAAAAAACTAATGATCAAACAACAAAACTAAGCAACAAAGAAACCTAATAATAAAAATAACAAAACCATTCAATTTAAAAGAAATAACATGATTCACCTGAAATTTTAGTTGTTTCTTTTTTTTAATCAAGTGCCATTATATTATACAACTCCTTGCTAATCATAAGTGCATTAAAACAGTAATACTGTGGTTTTTACAAAGTAAGTTGTTGCAGACACTCCATTTTGACCTTATTGGAGTGAGAAGAAAGGTTGTTTCAGATGGACATATCTGGCAGGGAAGGAGAACCCTCCCCTCCTTTGGAGTGTATGCATTGGATTGCCCATGGATTGAATGTAATTTTTCCTTCTTTTTAATATCCGAATTCCAAAATGAACAAGTCTATTGGAATTAAAGCAACAGAATTCTAGCGACTTCCAAGAAATATGGGATTCTTGGTATTTGTGGAATTAATCCATAGTAATTTCAGAAAAGGAGGAACTGGTGACTCCTTCAGCTCAGTCAAATTTTATGTGTATATTGAAACATACAATTTCAAAGTATTAAATGAATTTTTCATACAGTAATAATTTAATTATAGTGAGATCTCCACTAACCAGTATATACTCCACAAAGAAAGAAACATTTATTTTTACTGCAAATAAGATCATAATACATACCCAATTGATGTGAATTATTTATATGTAATATGTATTTTGTAACATTGTAAATAATCATACTTGTAAACCCATTTATTCTTAATTAACCTGAATTGTGATGCTGAATATTGTGATCAGCCAAGGATTGATTCCCTGGGGACCTACTTTCCTGTTACTGCCATGGATAATGAAGTACCTATTGTTTTTGAATATTTGATATCTTGGAAATTTAATTTTCTCTGGCAGGTAGTTTCTTAATCCACCACACTAACTGATTCAATGGTAATGAATATGGTTATGAAAGGCAAGTATAGTAATTAGAAATATTTCCTTAGTACGTGCCATCCAATGAATAACCCATTAGTAGAATTTAGCCAACACTGAAGCAATGTAAGCTCAGTAATTAAAGGTAATTTTATGGACACACTACACATAGACCATATACAGAAGAAAGAAA